TTTTTTTTTTTTGGTACAGGGAATCTAATTTGGGTCCTTGTGCTTCTGAGGCAGGCGGTGGAACCACTGAGTTAAATCCCCTGCTCCCTGTAATGTTTGTATTTGACAGAAATTTCTGTAAATGTTTGGTCAACTTAGGAGGATCAAAATACTTTATTTAATGTTTAAATTACGTTTATTATATTAAAAGTATATTACTATTAATTTCCTCAAAATACTTCCTTCACTCCAAACACACTTATCCTGTTATTCTTGGTAATGTGTTTTTTACCTTAATAAAATTTTAAAAATGTAAATATTTGCTATATGTTTTAAGTACCCTTTATATTTAGGAACTAATATTTGAAATATACAAATAAGTATTTAGCACATGAGGCCTGAGGAAGGAAAGGAAATAAGAGTGATTATAAAAGACAAGGTGACATCTTCATTTTCTTATGAGTTTTTAAAATTTTAGGTTACAAATCCCTATGATAAAAATTCTAAGTTTAAAATATCTCCATAATTTACCATATATTTTAAATTTTCATATTCCACGATCTCACACTCTTACTTGCACATTGTAACAACTCTGAAATAGGAAATTGTATAACTGATAGTTTCTTGGAATTGTGTTTTAGATCAATTGATAATTTTCCTTTTTTGGCATTACTTAAATAGTAATAAAATAAGCATGTATTTAACATTAATAGTATTTTAAAGTCAATAAGATATGGTATATTAAATTGTTCCAGAGGCTTCTATAAGGGTTTTCAAACATTTCTTCATTCATTTATTTTACAATATTTATCAAGCACCTTGCCTTTGTTAGGTGCTGTTTAGGTACCAAGGGTATGATCATAGTGACCGTATTGTTACACAGGCTTATATCTAGTGAGAAAAAACAGAAAATCATAAGATATTAATAATGGAGAGGGGTAGGAATAACAAAGAATCGATGGAATATATGAGAAGGGTATTTACAGCGTAGGGGTCAGGACAGACTAGCAGAAGGAAATTCCAAACTGGTACCTACAGGAGCAAGCAAGATAAGGTAGTGTCAAGCACAGAGAATACAGAAGTTATGATGCTGTTCCAATCAAAAGAGAAGGTAGGAACAAAAGCAAGAGAGGGGAGACTGAACAACTTTGAAGTAACTTACAGCTTATTAATATTATTAATTACCCTAGAATTTTCACTTTTCTTTTGAACAAGGATTCCTAAGGTCTGACCTTCTCATGATGGGCTTTAGATTTTGGTGCAAGGGATACCCTGAAATGGAATATGAGTGCTGTGTGTTTGAATCCACGCACAGACTTCACTGCATGCTTCAGTCTAGAAGTTGGTTGGGTGCCATCAAAATGGTAAGAACCACTGCTTTAGGATCTGATCTTGTTGAGCAGAACAAACAAAGTGGAAAAGAGATTCATATATTGTATAACTTATGGAAGATTTCTATCCTAAACTTATGTTTTAAGTGATAAAGTTAATTTGAACAGAACTTACGTTTATTTTTTAATATTTTTATTAATAAAAATTGTATTATCATGTACAGCATGACACTTGGAAATATGTATGGCTAAGTTGAGCTAATTAGTATATACCTTAAATTATATATTTATTCTTTTTGTGGTAAGAACACTCAAAATCTACTCTCATGATTTTCAGGAATGCAGTATCTTGCTATTAACTAATCACTGTTTATATAAGGGATCTCCTGAATTTATTTCTTCTGTCTAAATGAAATTTTGTATACTTTGACTAAAGTTCAGCCCACACCTCCAGCCCTGCTAACTCCAATTCTACTATTTTTATGACTCCAAAGTTTTGAGATTTTGTATATAAGTGAGGTCTTTCTGTGCCTGCTTATTTCACTTTGCATGATGTCCTCTGGTCGGACCATGTTGTCAAAAATGACAATATTTATCTTTTTTTAATGACTAAAGAGTACTATATTATGTGTATCTACTATATTTTCTTTATAAGCCTATTTTTACTCAAGTCCCTTGGTGCTTGACATTGGGCTCTGGATAATGATAGTGATGTTCTATACATTTTTTTCTAGACTCACTAAGAATTCCATTACTGGATTAATAATGCTGCCCCTTTTTATCCCCAAAATAATTGAGTATGACTGTCCTTCAGATAGTCAGATGCAGTGTGAAGTAGCTGGGTAATCCCCGGTCCACTGTTCCTTGTGCCCCTTAGCCCAAGCAAACACCTAGCAACTTGTAATCCTCCATCCTCATCCTCTCTCTCTGATTAGGAACTTCTGTTCCTTTAAGGAACATTTGACACACTCTCCTGTGATTCTGGAGGCCAGTGTGTTCTAAATTCCATGTGTGCTGTGAAGCTTCTTAGCTCGGACAACTTGAGTAATAAAGGGAACAGTTGGGAGTAACAAGATTGGGAAATGACGCCCCGGTGAGGTCGCAGGCGCGGCTTGGAACCCTGGCTCCATCCGCTGCTACGCTTAGCTGAGCTGGTGCCTGCAAGGCCCAGTCCCACTCCCCCTCCCACTCCACCCCTGCCTCTGGCCTCCCAGCTCTTCTGCTACCTGGTTCCACACTACAGAGGCACAGGGGATTATAAAGGCCCTTGTCCTGAGCGCCACAAGATAGAGCAGAAGTTAGTAACAGAAAGAGGGACTCTCAGGCTCCTTGATGAAAATAGAAGCTCAGCAGAAAAGCAAAGAGAATCTCTACAATAAAGGCACATCAGACCACTGTACTTGGTAAGTTGGAGGGATCATCACCTGAGATCATCACCTCCCATCAAAACCTGCACTATCTTCAGGGGAAGGGCAACTGGAACCTGCAGTAGAACTTTGCAGTGTTCAACCCTGTAGGAGGACAGGGAGGTCAACTTGGGACTAGCAGTCAGAAATCTGCCTGAATCTCACAGGTCTGCTGCTGGCTTGCTGACACTCATTGACTTGTATATGCACACACCTGCCTACATTGCCTACTGTGACAGCAGAGACATACCCTGAAGGAGGACCATCATTTTTATTTTTTG